TTCCCAACAGAAGTGACGCTGGATATGGGCACAGCAGCCCTCCCTCATCCTGACCGACCATGGGAAAACCCTGCAGTTGGGAGACATGCGGCAGAAATGCTCTTATGCTCAGACCTGGTTTAACTTGTACCCTTGTGTGCTAAGCTGCAAAGGGTTTACCTGGGGAAGGTACTTGGGGACTTGGAGTGGTGGAAATGGGGCTTTGGGCAGTGGGCATAGCCAGGGAGACTGTGACGGAGGAAGACTCAGCTTCCACCTGAAGAGAGCACCTGGTGTTTAGATCACTCAAGGTCTGATCGTTACCGGGCTCTGACCTCCCCTCCAACCTTCTGTCCTCTGAGCCAGGCCTATAAACAAGTCCAAGTGTGTCTGGACTACAAGGTTGTAATTCTGATGCTGTGAAGGACAACGTGATCTTCCCATTCCCATCAAGCCTTTTTGGCCTTTTTGTGGAGGAATTTGTGCTTCGCTGTGGGTAGGACTCAGATCCAAGCTGAGCCTAAGTCCCTAGATTTGCACAGACCGTTTTTTAAAACCAGAAACAACCTGGAGTAGTTGCCCCTTTACTGTTTTTGTACAAAAACTGGCCCTGGAGAAGCAGAGAAAAACATGCTGTAGTTTGTCCATTCCTCCGTGTGTTTCAGATCTATTCCTTTCCAGGGATTGGCAGTGATATGAGGACACTCCACCTCTGGTTTAAATGTGAGCACCTCTGTTATTTCAAGCATATGTTCTAAATGCTACAAGAGAATTTACTCCTGAGAACCAAGGGGCACCTACCTCCACTAGCCGACTGAGAATCTATACAATTCTTAAGTTGCAACACCAATACATGACAATCTATGCAGATGAGGGAGAAGCTACATTCCCCATACATAAGGCAACTCTTGGCTATTTACAAAATCTGATGATAGGAACACCAGAAATTAGCTAGGAACAGGTGACTCAGCATTCTATAAATTGCAACGTGTGCCAAGATCTGCATCTTTTTTTTTAAATCTAGACTCTGCCCAAGAGGACCCAGACTAAAGCAGCTCTTCCAGGTTTTTGTTTAACACACACTGATTTCAAGATCAGAGACAGATTGGCCCCCTAGTCAAGGAGATATGCAAATAAAATATCTCATCAAGGTTCTAAGTAACAGCTCTTTGACTCTTTCAGCCTTTTCAGTTGCAAGATTCAATGAATGAAAAACAGAGGCGTAATATATTATCAGAATGCTGTGTTTGCATAGTAGATCTTAAGGAAAAAGTCTATTAGGTTACGGGCCATCCCCCCAGAGGGAACTGGAGTGGCAAATTTACTAGGGAGAATTCCTATTTATAACAGGTACAGAGAAGCATGATAATCTACACGTAATCTTTGGAAGGAAGTGCAGCAAGGGGAGAATCAGTTCTAGGGAACACCGTAGTGTTTCCAACATATCCTTCATCATCAGTACCAAGTTCATTTATGTCTTTTGGACTGGAAATCACCTTGTCCTTCTGGGATTACACCAAGATGCAAAACCAACTCATACTTGTAGACAGCTGAATAATCTTTACCACTGCATAATACTGGGGTAAAATCAGAACATTTTATGTTAAATAAGTGTGCATGACACAGTGGAAAAACAAGCCAGTATCTGTCTCTGGTATAGCATTGAACAGGTAGATAAAACTTCAAGGATTACTTTGACTAGTCTGGTCATTCCCAAATGTGGACTACAACTCTCATCATGCTTGATCACTGCCACTGCTGGCTAGGCATGATGAAGGCTGCAGTCCAGCAAATTCTGGGGACCCGAGGTCGAGGACGACTAGTCCATCTTCTAACTGAAACAAACAGCCTCCATCCAAGTTCACCACACAACTGTATAATTCAGATACTTGGCAAAACCTGAGAGTTGTTGGGTATCATTCAAGATTTCTGTCTGTACAGAATTTTTTAAAGTTTTTAAGTTTAAAAAAAAAAGTTTTTAAGTATTTAAAGTTTTTTTAAGTAATTTTTTTAAAGATAGTTTTCAAGTTTTCTGCACCTTGAATATCAATCTCTAGCTGTGTCTTTTTACAGGGACAAATAATACTTTTGTGTTAAAAATCAATCCATTCACTCGTTATTTGTTTTTCGGCGCCAGGCTAAGACCTTTTTATTTAAGCAACATTTTAAATGCTAAATACAATTGAATTTTATCTGGCCAGGGCGGCTTATTTTATAATGTGGGTTTTAATCAAGATTATTTTATATGGATTTTAACTTGTTTTATCTATGTTGTAAGCCGCCCCGAGGCTTCGGCGAATGGGGCGGCATAAAAATGTTTTAATAAATAAATAAATAAATAAATAGTGTGGTCAGTCTTTTCAAGTAAGAGAGACTCCCCCAATACTTTTAAAACATAAACAAAATGTTTATTAAGCAGAATTAATTATACAAGAACAACAGAAAGGATAACTGTGCCAAAGAGGAAAGGACTTTTTTAAAAGCACTTCTAAAACTAGAAAAGCTCTCTGGTTTCTGGGTCTCTCTCAGGCCGCCATTATGCCTGCATATCCAGTCCTCAGGTCTCGATGAGGGAGCATGTTTACCCACTAGAACCCTCTTTCTCCATGAAAATAACCTTGAGAAGCCTCATTATTCAGACCTGTGAAGAGGCTGACACTTGAGTTCAGGCAGCTCTGGTCAGACCCAAGCAGCAGCTTTGACTCCCTGAACTCAAGAGGCATCGCCTTCCCAGCAGAGGCACCAAGCGGTCTGGTTCTGCTCTTTCTATTACTGCCCACAATCCAAGGGTGTGGGACGTGCCAAAAGAAAAGACGACAACTAGTGCAAAGTTATTTGCTGTAGCATTATCATGCAATTACCCCTGTGTTCAGGGTTGGATTCAGTATTCCTGTAAGTACTGATTGCGCACCAATGATGCAGCTGAAGTCCACAAGTGGGACTTCAGAACCAGCTGCTGCGAATAACTTTTTTAAAAAAGGGATTGGATGAATGCTCCAGCAGTTCAAGAACACAGCCCATATTTGTTTTAAGGGTCCTTGAAATTCCAAGCCAGAAGAGATACAAGTGTGTGTTTATATAGCGGCCTTCATACTTCTCAAACTTAACAAACCAAACGAGCACTTGAAGAGTGCTCTAACAGTTAGGATTGTACAATGAGACTGCATGTAAGATGGAAACAGGAATGGGAAAAGCCATCACAAAATGTAAGGGCCATTACATACCTCAGGGGCTTTAATCCTCTTCCATCCCAAGGGCCAAATTCCATTTGGAGAAACTCCGGGGTCCATACAAGCATTGGATGGGGCCAAACATTCTAGCAGAGCTTAGCTTAAGCCTCCTACTGCCAGTAACCAAGCCCACAGAAAGGCATTTTGAGCTTTTAAGAATGGGGTCCTGTATAAGGTCCAGGAAAACACCAAACAGGTAGTGGTTAGAGGAAAGGGGTGTGAATGTCTGGGAAACCACAGGTGGACAATTTGATACCTCACCTACAACTCTGGGGTCCTAAACCTCGGATATAGGTCATAATCAAGGAATCACAGACAACAAGCAACAGCTGCCTGTGAAACTCACGATCTTTCTCAACACAGCCATCTCAGTAGCCACTGAAGACTCACCTTGAAGTGCTTGGACCTTTCAGCAAAGGGGTAGCAACTGCAATCTGCATGGCGATTAGCAAAACATTTGGGAAAGGCTATTAGATTTGGCTGTCTCCTTGGCATCACGCTAAGATGTATTCAGCTCTGGCTCTAACCCTATGTACGTACTACTGGGAGTAAAAAGGAGTTCTCCTGCAAGGGAAATCTCGCATAAAGACAATGAGAAGCAAGGGGGCGCCTATTCTAATTTGGATAGTCAAATTAGCTATCCAAGTTCCAGACGCACTTTTTGGCTGAACCAAAACTATACGCACAGATGTTTCCAGGGCATATACCCTCTACCTCAAAATAAAAGAAAGTCTCCAAAATGTCAAAGTAAGGAATTTAAAATGTCTACATACAGATTAGGCACTTGGCCTGCAGTCTACATCCAACTAGACAGCAAACGTGGAGCAGAAGTTTGGTCTACAATGCCCATCAGCCTCAGCCAACAGTCAATTTTTATTTGTTATATATAGTTTTACTGTGCAATACGACCAATTCAAATATTCAAATCACAACTCAAATATTGTAATTTCTTTTCTTATCAGCCAGCATGGTCAGCAGTGAGGCATGCTGGGAGATGAGGGCCAAAACACTTGCGGGGCTACGAAGTACCCATCCCTGCACTCAAGTCAGTGGCAACATTCCCATGATTTAATTATTATTTTTCAAGAGAAATGGATCACACTCTTTGTTGCTGGGTTATTTGTTCCGCATTTGCCTCAGCTATAGAGAAAAAGATATTATGAACGCATATCAGTTATTTAATACTCCAACCATTATTTCTTGGGACATAGGTGGGGGATGGGAGTGGCAAGAATTAGTTTCCAGCATCCAACTAATCTTTTCATTTAATTTAATGACTGAGTTACAAAACTCAGATACCAATGAATTTCTTTTAAAAGTAGAGTTCCACTTCCTAGTTAAGACTGGTCTTTATCACTAATGTTGTATTAAGATATAGGAAAAAGCTTTACCAGAATGTGGTTATTAAAAGCTGGCTGGAGCTCCATTCAATTGAAAGCAAATAGCTGGAAAGAGCCTACAAAGAGCAGAAAATAAGTTATTTCAGTTTTGCTGTACCTTCGATGGACCGAGAAGCCATCCGTTCATCCAAAAAAATTATCTTACCTTTAAACTTCAATTTGATCTGTTAATTTTATTGGCTAGGTTTCTCTCTTATTATAAAAAATACACAAAAGGAAATTCTAAGAAGCCTGACCAAGATATGACCATTCTGCCTGCTTTCCTAAATGGTATACGCAACACTATAGATTCCACACTCACATGGGGGGATGTGGCAGTGGGCACAGATTTCAGGGCCCAAGAAACTCACTTTTATTTTTTTAAACAACAGGCCAAGATTCTAGCACTCATGACAACAAAAATAGACCCCAAAGCATGTAGGCAACACCTGGCAAAATCTCCGAAGCCAGAGAAAGGGTGAGTAGGATCTCCCACCAGCAGGATTTCTCAGTGCCCTGTGTCTCTCCCTGTCCTTTCCTGTGACCTGCAGAAATGGAACAAATTATTCAAATATATTTATGTTTGCTTGATTTGCATAAGGCATCCAAGGCCACAGAACTCAGCTTTCTTTGATGAAGAACTGAACCACCTTGAAACAGAGATTTGTTTTGTTACAAAGCTTGGAATAAAACACAGTCGTTTGTATGTCAGTGCAACTTTTCTCAGAAGTAAGTCCTGCTGTGTCAAATAGGATTTGTTCCCAGGATTTGTACAGATCTGTAACCTGAACAACTGATCATAACAGAAGCAGCTCTCAGCAGAGGGGGACTATGAAGAGGATCTTCAGGAAGACTCTGTTTCCTGCTCCACTGGGACACTTGCATTGGCACTGGGATTTTTTGCAGCACCTTTGAAGTGGACCCTCCGATGGCTGACCAGGTGGGAGCTCTGGTTGAACCTCTTCCCACACTCAGGGCACTCATAAGGCTTCTCACCTGTGTGGATTCTCTGGTGCTTGTTCAAGTCTGAGTTCCGGATGAAGCTCCTGCCACACTCAAGGCACTTAAAGGGCCTGTCCCCCGTGTGCATCCGCTGATGGGCCAGCAGGGCAGAGCTGTAGCTGAAGGTCTTCCCACACAGCAGGCACTTGTAGCGCCGGTCTTCCTGGTGGGATTTGCGGTGGACCAGGAGCTGGTGGATCATGCGGAAGCTGGCAGGGCAGTCGGGGCAAGCATGCAGCTTCTCCGTGTGCGTCTTCTGGTGGGAGATGAGGTGTGACTTGTGCCCAAACCGCCGGTCGCACTCAGTGCAGATATAGGGCTTTTCACCTGTATGGGTCCGCTGGTGGGCTGAGAGGTTCGAGCTGGTGCTGAAGCATTTCCTACAGTCCTGGCATTCGTAGGGCTTCTCGCCCGTGTGCGTCCGCTCGTGGGCCCGGAGCTGCGAGCTCTGCCGGAAGCCGCGGCCGCAGATGGCGCATTTGTACGGCTTTTCCCCCGTGTGGATCCGCCAGTGCTTGATGAGCACAGAGCCTTCGCTGAAGCACCGGCCACAGTCCGAGCAGACATACGACTTCTCCCCGGTGTGGGTCCGGCGGTGCACAATGAGCGCTGAGCTGGTGTTGAAGCTTTTCCCACAGTCGGTGCACTTGTATGGTTTCTCCCCAGTGTGGAGACGTCGATGGGTCAGAAGGCTGGAGCTGTGGCGGAAGCTCTTCTCGCAGACGTCGCACTTGAACGGCCGGTCATTTGGGTGGATCCTTGGAGGGCCATTCCCGTAGCTGAGACACATGTCTCCTGCAAACGTATCTCCGTGGGGTGCCAGATCCCTCTGGCAGATTTCTGGCTGCTCAGAATCCAGGAAATCCTCGTTCTCCTCTGACAACGGCTCAGGTGGTTGTTCAGGATTCACTGGTACAGGATCTGTTTGCTGGGGACTTTCCTCCTCATTTTCTCTCTTAATCCAATCTTCACCTGCTATGACAATTTGTTTTAAAGTGCCATCAGCCCATTTACTCTCTACAATGTGGCCAAAGACAATCTGAGATAGTAAGGCTGTGAGGGTGGCAGGTCTGAGTGAGTCAAGTGTAAAAAGATTAAGGGAGCAATCTTAAGATCCCCAGACAGACAGCCGAACACTGATGGAGAATGCACTCTGTCCTTATCTACCTTTATTTTCTGCTCTATCAAGAGTTTTGTGTTCCTCCATTTTTGCCCACAGGGCCAAATAACCTCCAAATAACCTCTGTTTCCTCTAAGAGGCACACACTCTAGTTTAGCACACAGTCAGTTAGCCCTTTTGTACCACTGCTGTGATATGGGTAGTTTTAAAAAGCAGGATAAAAATTGGGATGGAATTTTTAACCCTTCCAATACTTGGCAACAGATGAACAAAGGGTCCTACCCCAACTCACAAGTTGAAAGTTAACAGCCTGGGAATGGAAATCAAACCAAGTCAGTTGTGAGAACAGTAGATGTATCTGGGCCACTCATTCTGGTTGTACCACAGTGGTCACAGTGCTGGGAAACAGGGGACTTGGGTTCTAGTCCTTTTGGTCATGAAGCTACCTGGGTAACTTCGGGCCAGTAACCGACTCTTAGCCTAATCAACCTTACAGGGCTGTTGTAAACATAAATGGAGATGATGTTTATGTAAGCCACGCTGGATCCCTTGCAGGGAAAAAACGGACATATTGTAAATATCATACAATAAAAGTATCACAACATGGTCACAGGGAGTTTCTGGGGGAGCCAAGGTTAACAAAGAGCACTGGGCAGTGATCCGTGTGCCTGCTTGCAAGAGGTTTCACCTGCCTTGGCCCGGTGCTTCAACGCCCACGCAGGCACTCCTCTCTCGGTTCCGACTGAGGCGGCAGAGCGGCCAGCGAAACCCTCCAGCGACAAGCAGATTCCTTGGGGGGCACCCACAGAGCTGCCCGCGCCACTCCTCTCCCTCCAGCCCCGCTTGGGGCACTTACCGGGGTCCATCCCTGTGTGCAGGAGTTTGTTTAGGCTTTTATCCTGACGAGGATCCGGGGCGCGGAGCTGCACAACGAACACCCATCGCACGCTCAGCCTCCGGCCGAATTCCTGTGGCCTTTTGTGTCGCTCCCGATGAGCACCATGGGAAATGCAGTCTTGGCGGCGAGGCACTCTGGGAATTGTAGTTCGGCAGGGGATGGCACGCTCGGCGCGGCCCTGAGCTCGTCGTGGGCTCTTTGAAGACGGTGGTGCCTTGAAGGCAGGACGGGAGGGCAGAAGCGCAAAGGCCTCGCTCGGCAGAAGGAACAGGGGCGCCCACAAATGGAGCACAGTTGGAAGGCATGAATGTTGCGATCTGAAACGATCCCCTTGTAAAGTTCCTCCGTTCAAAGGCAAGCCATCCCACCGCAATTGGACAAGCAATGGTGCAATCCTACGCGCTCTGAAGTTTTGACAAGAAAAGGGAACATTTCCCAGCATTTTCCAATGAAAGTTGTAGAGCTTTTTTAGGTATCTAACTGTGCATAGAATGGCACCCCAGCTCAAGAGTCTAAAATTACCTAATCGCATCACTGTCAGAAAATGCAAGCTTCGCAGGTCACATGATCTGCTCAGAAATCCCTTTCCCTTAATCTTTGAATGTACTAGTGGCCGCTTTACACATGCACAAGAGCCCTTTTTTCTTTTTTATTATTGTTTCATACTTTGACCGTTAAAATTGAGGTGTGCATTCTGTCTACATGTTTGTATATAGACGATTTTAATAAGTATGTACAACATTCTATTATTAAGATTTTCATCTTTGTAAACTGCACAGACAGTTCTGGCCATTGGATGGTATAGAAATGTAATAAATAAAATTCGTATGAAGAATATGCTCCAAGGCTACGTTTCGATTGTGAATATATGTCCCTGTGCTGAGCCCTGGCAAAATCTAGAACGTTCTGAAAAGCCATGGAACAATGAAGCCTGGGACAAGAGCAGCATTTGATCTGCTTTCGGGCTGTATGCAGGAGAGAGAGAGAAAACGGAATATGGAAGAGTTGTTGTTATGTGCGGTCAGGTCGTCTTCCACTTGTGATGATCCTAGGAATGAAAGCCCTCCAATATGCCCTATCGATGCCATCCCTGCTTTCGTGTTCTAAATTCAAGAAGACTGTGGCTTCCCTTATGGAGTCAGTCCATCTCATATTTAGCCTTCTTTTTTTCTTCTGCCTTCGATTTTCCCTGGTATGGTTGTCTTCTTCAGACAGTCTTGCCTTCTCGTTATGTGCCTGATCCAAACAATCCAGAATTAAACAAGGAAGCGCCCCTGTATTATCTTCTTGGATACTCCCGTACTCACCGCTTCAGCTTGCAAGCAAAGATGGAGAAGGATTGCGTGTGAACTGTGCTGTATGTATTATCACATGATTTTTTTTAGGTTAAAAACAACCTTTTTTCCTTCTCCTTTTAAATTGCTGTGGAAAGTCACAAAGCTTATCGATGTTATCAAATATGAGGCTTTCTGTCACTGCCGTAACAAAGGATCACCTTTGGTTATTTATTTGCCTGAACCATTCCCGAAAAAGAATGCCGCGCCCAACGTGGGGCTCGAACCCACGACCCTGAGATTAAGAGTCTCATGCTCTGCCGACTGAGCTAGCCGGGCTCCTGACTCTGTGGTTTCCAAATACTCTAGTTAGTACGCAAAAATTACCACCTCGCTGCCCTTGTGTTCAAATGCTGTTATTGTTGGTCCTATATATAATATAAACTATAACAAAAAATGCACTCTAATATATATAGTATAAATGAATTACTTGTGCCGAATTGTTGCATGGCGCCACTTTTCTTTAGCTTTCGATGAATTACTTCATCCACAAAATAAAATCCATTTCTCAGATGAACCCAAGATCGTTTTTTATTTTTTCTTAAGTCTACCGTATTCCGAAATATTCCCACGTCTTGTTGATGTTGCTATAAGAACTTTATAATAACAATAATAAGTAGAATCGTGAACCACTGCCTATTTTAACAAGGTCAATTAGAATTTCGCTTGCTGATTTTACATATGATGTATGTAGAGCAATCTTTTTTTACGAGAAAATATTTGAAGAACATCGCTTTGGAGACGGGGGAAAAAAATTCTAGGGCTGTTTCTGCCCGGTTTCGAACCGGGGACCTTTCGCGTGTGAGGCGAACGTGATAACCACTACACTACAGAAACCAGCTGGTTCCCATTTGCTCTGTACAAGCTACAACTTTCTGCAAATGGACGTATTTGCCCTAGCAAAAATGGTTCTCATTGCAGTTTTCGATTTCAATTAAGCAATAGAGAGCCCCCAGAGTATCCTGCAAGCCATAATGGCAGCGAGAATTATCAGTGCCTGAGATGCCGGAAACGCAGACCTGGAGTATGACGAGTGGCAAATTTTACCTCGCTGCCAGAGTCCGACCAGGGCTTGGCATATGAAGAAACAGCGTCGTTAATATCATGGTACAGTATAGTACTAACTCTGAGTAACTCTCTGAAACTGTGTGATCTACAGGAGCATCAATGTTCTTGTTAAAGCATCGGAAGGCAGAGTCTTTCTTTCCCTGCAGAAAAGTTGGCACAACAGAGCTGGTCTTAGCTGAAGGCCCACGAGAGCAGGAGCCCCCAAATCTTTCCTTGTGGGTACTTGGTTACGCCTGATCCCCCCGGATTAGCTGATTTGTACCAATAGGTGCTTCTCCTTTTGTCTTGAATCGTTCTGCCTGAGTTTTCTTCTGCAATCAAATGTTCTCCTCTCTTCCGTCCACAATCCCTTTTAGGAGACAGGGTCCTTTACAAACACCCACACGTCAGAGTACACGTAAATTAGCATATATAAATTTGTTCTTTCTGTTGATTTTGTGGACTTGAGCCCCAGATTTCTCCAGAGTTAGCACTGCCCTTGCCCATAAGCAGATGTCTTCAGAGAAACCTGGTGTCCATCAGAAAATGTGCCATACTACAACCCTGGGCATAATTTTAAACCCCTCTCTCATGTCTCCCTTGATTTGCTTCCCCCCAAACTCAAACCACTCTTCCTGGGTACCTGCTCCAACCTTTTGGTCATTTTTGCTGCTTTTTACTGCACTTTCCCCCTGCAACTCTCCAAGATGACCAGAACTTTACATAGCATTTCAAGTGAAGTCTCATCATAGTATGGGGGCAGTATTATCCCGGCGGTTTTATTTTCAGTTCCTTTCCCAATCATGCCTGCCATGGGGTTTGCCCTTTCCACATCATTCATTCACTAGGCTAAGATTTTCACCATGCTGCCCTCCATGACCTCAAGCTCTTTTCCCCCAGGGGAGCCCTGGCATTCAAAGCAGCTGCCAGGACTGACCTTTGGCAAGCCGGCTGTAAACGAAGCCCTGTTGCTTCTAACTACCTGTCTTGCTCTCAGATTCTGTTTTACTTCCAGCTTTAGCAAACATACCATTAAGAACTTTCTTCCACTTGGATCTTCTGTCCTTCCTAAAAGGGCCTTGTGTAGGACAGTATAAGGCTTGGCATCACAGGGCACCAGATGAGACCCACACTCCAATAGGAGGCCCCACCACCACCACTGGCTCCTGACCCTACAATTGCCTTTCCTTACTGTCTGTGAATTTTCACCTTAATATACTAAGTTCAATGGGGCATACTTGGCATAGGGGTGGGAGGAGTCAGCGTGCAGTGTTGCTCGCCTCCACAAATGTGTTAGGCAAAAGTCTGTGAAACCTGCATACATAACCCTTTTGTCATACAACTCGCTGCTAACCACAATTTCCCAGGAAGTGGAAGAAGCATCTCATGATTTTCACATATATTTGTGAGCAACTATTTTCAAGAATGAAGCACACTAAGAGTAAAATTAGAACCAGAATGTCTTATGAGCACCTTGAGAACTCACTGAGAATTGCAACTACTGATATTTTAGTTTCTCAAATACAATGTCAAATATCTCACTAGTTTCATGTTGCCCTCTTTTCTTTTAGATTTATATTAAAAATCATAAAAATCAATGAAGTTTTATTACTTAGATATGTTCATTTTCTCTATTAGCGATCACAAACTTTGGACTTGCTCGACAATTTTAAAAGATTTTCTGAGCAGGGTGCCACATAATTAGGATTATGTGAGGACTTTTCTGCTTATCTGTGGTGGCAGATATCATGAAAAAGATGCACAGCCTTTTTTTTTCTTTTTCTTTTGCTTATCAGCTTTTGTTAGCGTTTATGTATTTAATGTAAAACCCAAAACATTTTTTTCTTCCAATATGGCCCAGAGAAGCCAAAAGTTTGGACCCCCCTGCTCTATACAGTCGGTAAAAAGAGGACCTGGAGCTGCCTGTGGCTCAGATCATGAGCTTCTTGTTGCAAAATCCAGGCTTAAATTGAAGAAAGTAGGGGAAACCACTAGGCCACTCAGGTATGACCTAAATCATATTCCTAATGAATATACAGTGGAGGTGACAAATAGATTTAAGGGATCAGATCTGATAGACAGAGTACCTGAAGAAGTATGGAACAAGGTTCGCAACATAAAGGTAGCAACTAAAACCATCCCAGAGAAAAAGAAATGCAAGAAAGCAAAGTGGCTGTCTGAGAAGGTTCTACAAATAGCTGAGGAAGGAAGGGAAGTGAAAGGCAAGGGAGATAGGAAAAGATATACTCAACTGATTGCAGAATTTCAGAGAATAGCTAGAAGAGATAAGAAGGCCTACTTAAATGATCAGTACAAAGAAACAGGGTGAACCAATAGACTGGAAAAGACTAGAGATAGCTTCAAGAAAACTGGAGATATCAATGGAATGTTTCATTCAAAGATGGGCATGATAAAGGACAAAAATACCAGGAACCTAACAGAGGCAGAAGAGATTAAGAAGAAGTGGCAAGATTACACAGAGGAACTACACAAGAAAGACCTTAATGTCCCTGATAACCACTATGGCATAGGTCCTCAAACTATGGCCCGTGGTCCGGATATGGCCTGCCATGCTCATTTTTCCGGCCTGCCTCAGAACTTTTGGACTTGTGGGTTTGGGTGGACTCTGGGGGATAGTGGAGGACAAGAGAGCACCGTGTGCTGTGGTCCATGGGGTTATGGAGAGTCGGGCACGACTTTGCGACTGAACAAGAACGCATACTTCTAACAGATGCTCAGGCTGAAATAGCAGTAGAATTCTACACAAGACAGTTTTGCACCTGCAGGACAAAGACTATTGAAGAGGTTATTCTAACTGAACACCTACAGACTAATATTGCAAATTGACCAGATCGCTGGAAAATTTTTAATATTCCCATTGGGATATTTGTGTTAAGTCTGTTGCAGCAAAATGTCTTGAATCTTGTGGCTAAAATCAGTGTTAGTAAGTGTAAAAGATGCACATCTGGGGCAAATAAATCAATCCCAAATGGTTGTAAAAAAGACAAACTCCATGTTAGGCATAATTTGGAAAGGCACTGAAAATAAACTTGCCAATGTTATATTGCCTTTATACAAATCTATGGCGCAGCTGCAGGTAGAATAGTGTGCACAGTTCTGGTCTTTGCATCTGAAAAAGTGCAGCAAAGGGCAACTAAAATGCTCAAGGGTTTGGAGCAACTCTGCTATGTGGAAATGGTACGAACAGCTGAGATTGCTTAGCTTAGAAAAATGGTGAGTAGTAGAGACATAAGAGGGGTGTACAGAATTTTGCCTAGTGTGAAGAAAGTGGAAAGGGAGACATTTCCTTCCTCTCCTACAGTACTACAATGCAGGGCTAAGTGCTGAATTTTATTGGTGGGAGATTCAGGTCAGATCCATAGGAGTACTTCTTCACACAGTGAAGTTAAACTGTGGAATTCACTTCCATGTGATAGAGTCATGGTGACAATCTGAGTGGCTTCAAACAGAACTGGACAAATTTTATGGAGAAGATTACCAGTACTAATTGCTCTATGCTATCTTCTGTAGAAGCAAAGTATCCCAGTTGTTGGGGACTTGGGCAGGAGGGCATCACTGCACTCATGACCTGCTTGTAGGTTACACATGAGCCACTGTTTGAACAGAATTGTGGACTAGATGGTCTCTATTCTGATGTTCTTACATTTGTTCACTTTTACTGTGCCAAAGGATGCATCACTGGCAGATGGTTAGAGATGGTTTCACATATTCCCTTTCTGTCCTAACTATAAATGTTTACAGATAATAATACGTCCTCCATAAATAATCTAAGGCAACCACATTAATACTATTGCATCACAAACACCATAATAATTGTAACTTGCTTCTTGGTTCATTGCTTGAAAAACAACAAAGCGTTCTGAGATATAAAAAGAAAACGGTTCTCTATATACCCATCTCCCTCTCCTGTTCCCACAGTCCATGTTTTCCCCTCCTTTCCGTTGTCCTCTTCCTTCCTACCACATATTACATCTTTAAGGAGGGTGTGGGTTGTTGCTTTGAGGGGGGTGTAGTTGAAGAATAAACAATAATTTATTTTAAGCAATAATATTTAAACATCCGGATTAAACAGTTTCTTAAGCAAGACATTGACGGGTCTCTCCCCTAGTTAATGCCATCTTTAAAATCCGCAACTGGGAAGAGAGCAGCAGGAGGGAGGGGAAGCGCAGCGTAGGACAAATGAAACGATACTTCCAGGGCACGACCATAATTATATAAAAGGCGTCTTCTATCTCCATGAAGACGCTCTAGCCTGGACCTGGCATCTCGGGAACCATAGAGACAAAGATAAATGCAGAGCGTCTTTCAGCCTTCCGGTGCATTTCCGGCAAGTTTCCTTGTTAGAGACCATAGCGACGTGAATGGTGGTGGCGTTATTAACGCTTGTTGTTTGCGGCTCGAGAGCCGCCCGTTCTGTACGCGAGGCCTGTTTAAAATATGTGCTGCCGGCCTCGCCCGCAGCCCCGGACCGCAGAGCTGCGCTCGAGGTTCCAACGGCCCGGGGCGTTCCCGAGCCCCCTCGGCCGGTCGCCCTCGGACCATAGAGGCGAGCAGCTGGAGGCGCCTAGCATTCCCCCCTCAGTTCCGGTCCGAAGCCGTTCTTAACCACAATAGAGTCGCAGGTGCGGAGAGTGGTAGAGCGCCTGTGTGGCTACTTTGGCGGTGGGAGTTGGGTCGGGGGACGTTCCGTTTGGGTACTCGAGGCTGCTGTTGCCCCGCGGGGGAGAGCGAGTCCGCCAGGGCAGGAGGGGGCTGGCGGACCTGGGCCGCCGGCTGGGAAGGCAGGGACGAGGAAAGCAGCTATAGGGAAGTGCAGGAAAGCACCTCCGCCGGCAGAAGGCCGGTAAGTGCTCCATCCCTTCCTCTCGAGGGTCCCTGGACTGGCCGAGGGGTCGTGCGGAGGAGGAAGGAGGGAGCTCGGCCGTCCTAGCAGGGCAGAGAGAGGCGACCTGTTCGGGAAGGAAGGGGCTCCTTGAGGGGCCGCTTTCAGCGAGGGAGGCGTCGGAGCTTGCTCGGAAGGAATTCGGGATCCCATGGCAGCAGCAGGCGGTGGCCATGGGGGCCTCCTGAACCCCGTGACGACCCTACGCGAGGAGGCTGTCTGTGCTATCTGCCTGGACTACTTCGTAGACCCGGTGTCCATTGGTTGTGGTCACAATTTCTGCCGTGTCTGCATCACCCAGCTGTGGGGCTCGGAAGAAAGTCAGGGTGAAGGAGAAGATGATGTGGGAGCATCTGGCTCGGATGGAGGGTATGGGCCAGACTCTGAGGGGGCTGTTGATGACGGAGGGCTAGATGAATTGGGACTTGAGGAAGATGGGGATGATGAAGATGATGATGATCTGGATGATGAGTTCTTGGAGGATGGAGACATGGGGGAAGAAGGCGAGGACGTGTCCAGGGATGAGTATGATGATGAAGATGATGTGTGGGATGAGGAAGATGACAGAGAGTACTGGGACCAGGACCCTGGTTCAGATGAGATGTGGGATGATGCCATGGGGAGTGAATTATTCTTTGATAATTATGATGATGAGGAAGAAGTCATGGATGAGGAAGATGAACCAGAGGAAGAGGTAGAGTATACTGTGCCGGCAACCCCACCTAATCCTCCACAGCGCCATCCTTTTACTTGCCCACAGTGTCGCAAAACTTTCCCCCACCGCAATTTCCGCCCCAACCTCCAGCTGGCAAATATGGTGCAGATCATCCAACAGTTGCATCCGCAGCCCTACAAGTCTGTGACAGCATCAACTGAGGCTGTCGAATTAGCTGCAGCAGGGGAGTCCTGTGGAGCACCATCTGCTTTAGCAGCAGGTCAGACTCCATGTGTTGAGCGCACCCTGTGTGAGAAACATCAGGAGCCCCTCAAGCTTTTCTGTGAGACGGATGAGGAGCCCATCTGTGTGGTATGCAGGGAATCACGAACCCATAAACACCATAGTGTTTTGCCCTTGGGAGAAGTTGTGCAAGAATACAAGGTATGTCATCAGATGAAGCAATATGAATGTTGGGTTTTAATCTTGTCTATAGGAGCCCATAGTATGTCTGTCTTGGTTATAAAAGTAACTATGGTCTGTGCTTGTAATATTGACAAATGTGTGGGGTTAGGAGAATAGCCTAGTGGTGGAGCTCATGGTTTGCTTGCAAAAGGTCCTGGATTCAAACTCCAACATCTCCAGTTAAAGGATTTGAAAGGTATGATCTCATGAGAGGTAAGATTTCTGCTTGAGATCTTGGAGAACCTCTGCCACTCAGATCAGTAGATCCTACTGGGCTTGGTTGTGACATGTGAGGCAGCTTCATATATTAATCATTAGCATTTTGGAGTCAACAAAAAGCAATAGCAGGGTATATGTGCTCCCTTGTTAAACTTCCAACCATCTCTGAAGCATTTTCTTTGCATTTTCTTCCAGAAGATCAGTTATATTTTCAAGAAAACCTGTGCTAAGAATGTATGGAATTCTGTGTTCCATTTCTTTGCAGATTAGGGATGCATATTCTGCTTGCACTTAATACTTGTGTTGTGTTTGGGAGGTGTGTGTGTGTGTAACCATTAAATGCTTAAGGGATTATTATTATTATTATTATATTGTACTTCTATCCAGCCTTTTTTCTGCTTGGGAAGAACCCAAGGCAGCTTACATAGCTCCATTTTATCCTCACAAAAACATCCCCGTGGGGGAGGTGAGGCTGAGAATCAGTGATTGGCCCAGTCACCCAGTGAGTTTCATGGCTGTCCTTTTGCTGGACTGTTTTGAACTACTGAGAGAGCTTTGGCTGTGGGGTGGTATAGAAATGAGAATAATAATAGTGGGCTAAGTGGGGGCTAGAACCCAGACACTCAGCGAGGGTAGTCCAACACTTATAAAGTTTAGAATTTTGTAAATCAGATTTTTTTTAAGTCTTCTGAAAGATGATACATCTTTATGCATGTGTGCGTGCATGTAGATCAATATGAGCCTGAAAGATAGGCCAGGAGGCTTTCTAATGGATGCTCTCTGGTTTCCTGTTCTTTAGCAAACATGCAAAATAAACTCTTTGGGGTATTCCCTCTCCCTCAATTATAGAAAAAATGGGTTCTCACTTCATACATAAGGTGAGAGATTCAAGATTTTTCAGAAGCTGGTGCAATTTATGGTCTGCGTATGAAATCTATTTATACTAGTTGTATTCAAATGTGACACTTGGTGGCCAGGAAGCAGAGGCATGATGCAACTTCCCCCAAAAGGGATTTGTATGAAGTAAAAAAGATTCTACCCAAGTTCTTACTGCTTATAATCCAGGGTGTGGGGGGGAGTCCTGACGATTATAATAGCACTTAGTTGCATTTTTATCCTACATGCTGTGCTTTCCTAATTGAAATGCTACAACAGCTTTCATGGTTGTTTCTTCAAAATGAACTGTTCTGTTAAGCTGATTTTTGTTTTAAGGCCAAACTCCAGGGTCACTTGGATCCTCTCAAGAAGAAACTGGAGACTGTTATGAAGCAGAAATCAAGTGAAGAGGAGAAGATAGCAGATCTCAAGGTATATGCCAAGTATCCCTTATTTCTCTATCTACAATTTGGACCAGTCAGTCTCTTGTTTGATAGCTGACCACCTTGTATTTGGTGTGTTGTTCATTTGAGCAGATGAATCCTTGAGGAAAAGGTGTAAGAGTCTCTTTTTTTTGGCCTGAGGCACATGTAACATCTTTCACAAGAATATTGTCTTTGGGGATATGACTTGAGACTGGGTTCCCAGTGGTGGAAAACCCGGATTCCTAACTGACACACCTGGGTCTTGATCTGCACTATAGGCAAACTCTGTGCTCGCTAAACAGGCCTCTCTTACTTGTATTCTGTGGGGAGTGGCTCACGGGAGACACCAAGCTGTTTCTGCTAACGTCAAGGATTGTAAGATTCATGTGCATGAAGGCACCATGGGAACACCTCCAGGTACTAGCTGTTAATCTTAATAGTGGGTGGAATCAAAGGGACTGGAACTGGTGTAGATGTTTCAGTTCAAACACAATAGTTTTCTGTTTTAATTTTCCCTTCATTGCCTACCCAGTGGTAGCCTTACAACAACCTTTCATATTCTGGCTCAGGGAAAAACTACCAATAAATGATGGAATGAAATAGGTCAGATCTACATATTATATTGTTTTTGTTGACTATGGAGCTTTCTCACTGTAACATGTAAATTTGTAATCTTTAGGCATATTGTCCAGTTGACAGAAATAAGTTCTCCAATTTTTAGCATTTCCTCCAGCCACTGGACTTATTTCTTTCTAAAATTGCATAGGATTGCATCCTAAAGTTATGTTCAGCTAAAGCAAGACTTCTGAAGGGGCAAGTCAAGTCAATCTTTATTTGTATTAGCCATAGCATATAAAATATGTGTTAAAATATATATTTAAATAAAAACAGATAACATGTACATAGTTAAAATAAACTTAATACATTCCATAATTTATATTAGATAGCAATACCAAAATTATTGGATAATTCATTATACATATTCTCTCAGAACCTGCAGAAGTTAGAACTCTGAAACAAAAGTATACCTTATTTTAATTGCACCTGCTAGGAATCTTACAGGTTTGATCTGCTAAAAGAAAAGCTCAAATATTCAGAAACAAGTTGCCCTGGAATAGGTAGCAGTAGGGGAGTGGAATAACAGGGAAAAGGTCCTTGCTTCATACAGGATGAACTCCTTTCTTCTGGTTGACCTCTAGGAAAAGGCATGTCCTTATGTGTGGGAGAAAAAGGGGATTTATTTATTTCCATTTTTATGCCGCTCTCATAACCTAAAGGTTCTCTGGGCAGCTTGTAAATGCCTTTCTTAAGGTGTCCCTGTCCCGTTTGTCTTTCTTGGCTGTTGTATTGACAACGCTTTAACGTTTAGTTGATCAAAATGTTAATTGGCTAACAGTTGGACGCTGTGGCCCTAATTGCTTGGTTTCAGTGGAGAATACAGGATCCCTATATTTACAATGAGCACTGATGCCCATACCGACAGATCCTAATACCTGCTCAAGAAGGCCACGTGCAGTATTGCTCTGCCTTGCCATGAGCTGGCGCAGTCTCAGACCTCTGCTGCAGCCGCTCTCAGCCTTGCCTTCCTGGCTGTCTTCTACCTTCCACAGAACAAGATGAAGCTGGACATGAAAGAGTTTGAGTCAGACTTTGAGCGGCTCCACCAGTTCCTCGTTGGGGAGCAGGCGTTGCTGCTGCACCAGCTGGAGGATCGCTATGAGGTGCTGCTGGCCAACCAGAGCAGCAACGTCACCCATCTTGAGGATCAAGGGGCCGCGCTCAGCCGCCTCATCGCCGAGGCTGAAGACAAGAGCAAACAGGATGGCTTGCAGCTGCTCAAGGTGCCTTCCCTGTTTGCCCGGGTTTGGGATAGCGTCTGACCAGGAATTGTGGCACTGGTTTATAAGTGGTGTAGGGGCTTCAGATGTGAGTCTCTAACCTTTGGGGTCTTTTAAAAAGCCAGTGTCCCTTCTAGGACTTGTCAGTCTCCAAAGAGCTGCCTGGCTAGTTTCGTGTGATGAGGTTGCCTTGGAAAGACTGATGTCGAAGACTTATTTCCCCTGACCCCTGTCCTAGATATGAATGGGAAACAGTAATGCTAGAGATACGTAAATTCTAATTTAGTAGATTTTACAACCTCCACGGGCATATAATCCTGTGTCCAGTCCTCTTAGTCGGATTAATATTTCTTAAAAGAGGCTGTGAATGTTTACATTTTCTTTTGTTGTTCCCACATTGCTTGCCTTTTTAATCTATTCTTCTTCTTCCTTATAGGATTTCAAAGGCACTTTAGTCAGGTTGGTTGAATTTCTTATACTGCTTTTGTTTTAAATTTCTCACTGATTTTGTGCTTTGTGGGTAGCATGGGTACCTTTGGAAAGTGTCCTTGTGACATTGTCGTTTGCAACAGACTCCTTTAAATAAGTTCTATGGGTGATAAAGATCTGATATTCCAGAGAACCAATAAATACCACAGTACTGCTTTCTCAAAGGAAGTTGCACTAAACTTTAAGGTAATTTTAGCTTGCTTAGCATTATATAAACTGAAGTTTTTTTTATTTTTTTCACCAAGCATCCATCCTGGGAATCCTTCATACCCTTAAGTTCTTTCATGGAAAAATGTTAGTGTATAATTTATTATTTTTAGCTGCTGTGAAATGGAACCATCATGAAATCAGTAAAGTGCAAATAGAATTGTAATGTTTGCCAGAATGGAGTCTATCTGCTGCACTGTAAAACTGCTTTCTGCTTCAAACTTTTTTCACAGTAAGCCAATCTAAATGTAGTAGCACTAGAGAGGAGACTGGAAGAACTGAGTTTGGAATAGTTTCCTGTATCATTGTCTTGTGTTTTCCTCTCCTTGTTGCCATTTCCATTCCTTACATGTGGGTTTTTTACATGATCACCTTGCCAGGTGTGAGAATATTAAGTTCCAGGACCCAGAAATGGTGTCAGTGGATACAGGAAAGAAATACCGAAACTACTTCCTTATAGACGTCTTAATGAGGAAGATGGAGAAGGTCTTCTGCAAAGCTCCTCAAGGTAAGGGGGGCGGGGTCTGGCTCCCTTCCTCCTGATGCTGCAGGTTAGGGATGCCATTGCAGAATGTGGTGCTGCCATCTGTCCTGTGGTCTCTGAAGGCTAGAAATCTTCTCTGTGCAACAGCATCATGAAATTCAGAAAATGACTAGCGCTTCTCAGTGTGTTCTAGTCCTTGCCCAGAGGGCCTAAAACTATTAGCTGGACCTGACTTTGGATGGGGAGGAGGTGGGGCTGGTCATTGACACTGAGAGGTTTGGGTGGGGCAGGGAGTGAGAGACCTGGTCTAAGGAGGTTATGGGGAGGCTGCAGTAAAGAAGCAAATGTGGAAGGGTGGAAAGGTCTGATGGAGGGACAAGAGGGTCATTCTAGGCGTGATGTTGTGCAGAAAGTGGGGGGGGGTGTCTGAGTGAGAAGGAGAGGCAAAGGCAGTGCTGGCTGGAGGGCCAGGTGTGGGGAGGAGAGCTGATGCAGTTCAAGCATAAGGGCACCAAGTTCACAATGCAGAACCCCTCTTGCGGGGGCAATGTAGCGGCCTGGCTGAGAGGAGAGTCAGCGAGCGTTACCTGTGCCACGAGCTGCCCTGACGGGCTGAGGCAAGGGGTGCCTCTGCAAGCCTCAGCCCTACCACAGCAATGGCTGCATAAGGACCCCTGGCCCCTGTTACTGGGGCTTGGGTACGGAGAACGCGTGCAGAGTGCTCCCAGCGCTCTGAAGCTTCCTGACTTGTCATCTGCTGCTGGTTTGCTCCGTCCTCTAGGCACCAGCTGTTAGCCAGAGCCGCCACGTGTACATCCATCCATCGTTCTGTCCATGGATTTTGTCTGTGATGTCTGAATCAGGAACTCAGGCATGTTTCTCCCTGCACAAACCAGACTCCTGAGCCATGGTTTGTTCTTGGTTTATGTCTCTGGCTACTCTGGGAAGAAATGAATCAGAGTTCCCGGTTCTGTCGTCACTAATGAACTACAGATGGACAGCTGTACAAGGATGTCTGCTTGTTCCTCTTCCATCTGCATGTAAACAACGTGATTCCATAGTTTAAAGAGCCAGCACATTTTCCTGATGTCGTCCTGCTCATTAAAAAATCTGTTCTGTTGTACATGGGGGTCGCGATCCTGCATTCTTCCAAACAAAACTCGGATCAGATGCCTACAGAAAGACTGAAGGCAGGAAGGGTTAATGTTGAAGCAGTGGTGTCCGGGCTAAGTCCTGACAGCCGCTAATGTGCATTAGATGGATGGATGTGAGCTATACCTGGAACTGCTGTTTCTTGCATGAGGCCACATGGTTACTTTGTACACTAAACCATTCATATGCTTAATGTGGTTATACATGGCAGCTGTACATTTGTCTAGCTGAAGAGGAAGGAAAAGATGCAAAAGCAGGGTCAGCAGTTCCTGTAGTCAGGAATGCGGGCCCTTGAGGAATGCTAAGCGGGTGAGGCGTGCCTAGGAATCTCTGCCCAAGAGAATCCCCACCTGGACCACCTTGTTCTGAGCTAAGCAGAAAATGTATTTTCATGTGTGCTGCTGTGAATCTGAAAACCTCCATGTTCACCCCACGTTGTCTCCTCCTGGAATAAATACACAGCCTTTAACGTGGGTTTTCATGTGCTTCTCCTCTCACCTGCAGCTGATTTGACCCTGGACCCAGAGACGGCCCATCCGCGGCTCACCCTTTCCTCAGACTGCCGCAGCGTCCGGCTGGGAGAGCGCTGGCGGGACCTGCCCGAGAACCCCAAGCGCTTTGACTCCGACTACTGTGTGCTGGCCTTGCAAGGGTTCACCTATGGCCGCCACTACTGGGAGGTGGAAGTGGGTGGCCGGCGGGGGTGGGCCGTGGGTGCAGCCCGTGAATCAGCCCGGCGCAAGGAGAGGTCCAGTGGAGGCCCCCACCAGAAGCGGGAGATCTGGTGCGTGGGGACTAATGGCAAGAAGTACCAGGCCCTGACCCCCACTGAGCAGACGTCCCTCTCTCCCGCCGAGAAGGTCCGTCGGTTCTGCGTCTACCTGGACTATGAGCGGGGCCAGCTGGGCTTCTACAACGCAGAGAGCATGGCCCACATCCACACCTTCAATGCCTCATTCCGTGAGCGCATCTTCCCTTTCTTCCGCATCCTCTCCAAGGGGACCCGCATCAAAATCTGCAACTGAAACCAGCCCTGGTTTTGCCCTTGCACGTAGCTGGATTTTCTTCCCCATGAGGGTCCCACAAGTCCTCTTGTCCCAGTTGATCATCTTCAATGAGAGATCCCTAATCCTCATAACTCTTGGACTTTGGATTCCCGATTTCTCTCTCTCTGTGAAATTATCCTGGCAGGGATTCTCCCCTTTTATGTACCAATCATTGCACAGTTGTCTTTGTATGGTACTTGACCAGATCTAATTTTCTTTATTGGCTCAGATCCACCCTAACAAGAATAATTTATGCTCCCCCCACTTTTGGCAGTTGACTAAATCACTCTTTCTCCCTCTGCTTGAGGATCTTTTGAGTACCTGCCCTTTCTTAATTCAGAAAGGGTGTGAATTGAAGCTGATTCAGCCTGTGGTTCTCTGGCTCTCTGCTTGGTGGGATCTGTGATAGCACAGGGACTGGGACAGAGCTGCCCAGGGTTAGTCTTTGACATTCCAAAGCCACCTGGATCTTCTTAAGCCAGGCACTTGACCTGCGAGTGCCTGGCTGTCTTCTTTGAATGTTGATGCCCAAACAGGATAAGTGGTCCCAACATGTCCGTGGAGAAGGATCCAATCCATGCTGTAAAACTTGTTTCTGTCTTTCCCCAAGACTGATGTTCTTCCTGCAGCCCTCTGAAAACTTCATGGTGCTGCCTACATCTGAATGCAACTTTATGCAAGCATCTTACCTGGTTTCCAGATAGAAGCTTCTTCGGTCACCCCGATGTCTTTTTTCTGATCTCCTTTTTGCTCTTTATTAATGTCCGATTTTAAGAAAATGATCCAGCCCGCCAGTTCGGTCCCACTGCTTCATGAATGTGGTTTGATGTAATGTCTCATCCTGTTTGTCTCTCATATCTTGATGTTGACCCCACCCATTTTTCCTGGAGCAGGAGATCTTTATTAATACTGTTAATTAATGACACATGCAGATGCGTCTGTGCTCGTTGGAGGGCCCTGGCTCCAGAGACGAGTGTAACCCCAACCCCAGAGCTGTGGCGATTGCTCGGCGTCCCCACTGCCCTGCCCACAACCCCTGCTGTAGCTAACTTATTTTAACTAGCTTCCCCGTCACTCCACAGACTTGCAGTGTGGAATCCTCTTTGTCCTGCAGACCACTGGAGGCTTTAGTTGTGCCAGCTGTATATGTTTTTTCTGATTCCTTTTGGCATTACAGAGCTCCTTTTGAACTATTTTTCGCTAAAAAAGAAAAAAAAAAGACTTAAAATGGAGATCTAGTTTTTTGGGAAATGTTGAGAGAAATAAATACATAAACAATTGTACAAGTTGTCTTGCTTCTATGATTTGTCCTAATGTTGAAAATGGGTAGAGGGGGAGACTCAAGATGGAGCTGGTGCCCCTGAAGGGAGGAGCTTCACGCTGAATCAGCCAACAAGTCAGCCTGGTTCAGTATCGCCAATGTTCTTCTCGGTTTTATTTGGAAATGCCAGCAACAGGAGCTGAGACCACCCATGTGTGAGAAACGAGCTGCTCTGCCATGAAGCCACATCCCTTTCCCAGGTGCCTTTTCCCAGCTGTGGCCTCCCAGGCCTAGTCCGGGGCCTCATACCAATCATACTGGAAGGGGTAGGAGAGGAAGTCCCTCGCCGTTTCCTGCGAAACAGATGACCTGACAGGAGGAACAGGTTTCTGCAAGTGCCGCCGACCAAAATGGCAGCATTCCTTTAAAACGTGTCCTGCAAGCAGCTGACAGTGAATGTTGATACCTAGTGGGTCGGAGCTGCATATATCTCCCGCACCATTGGCTTCTCATTCACTGGTGAGATACCGCTGGCAGAATGGGCCAGGATGGTCTTTGTAGATGGTACCCTATCCTGCTGTGTTCATGCCTAGAGGCTTCAGAGTCCCTCTGGACTGGCGAGAGCGAGGGTGGTGGGGAGAGGGAGCTGCTGGAGACGATCTCCTCCCCCCCTCATGCCAGGACCATTCTGTAAAGAAGATTGTTTTTTCCAAGCAGAATCTTGCGAAGGGGGAGGCAGCTGCTAAGGCCTGTTCGAAAAGGAAACTCTGCAGTGGCTTGCTCAAGATTCAGCGACAGGCTCACCTTAAAATACTGCCTTTTCAAGTTGTACCACTTCTAAGAAGACATCAAAGATAGAAGACAGGTGAAGGGCAGTATAAGAGCCAGTGTGCTGCACGGGGTAGACCAGGTTTTGGGAAACTGGTTCTAGTTCCCACTCTGCCAGGAAGCTCACTAGAGGAGTGGTTTTCAGCCACCAGTCTGTGGACCGGCACCAGTGCAAGGGAGATTTTCCCACAGGTCGGGGGTGGGGGCATCCTGCTTGCCGCAGACTGGCACAGGGGCTGCCTGTGCTCCACCACCTCTTCCTCAGTTGGCAGGGTGTTCATGGGGGGGGGGTGCTGGTGCCACTGGGGCAGCGGGGGCTGGTGGGGAGACACCAACTTGGTGAGAACCAGCTGGGTACCACGCCATGCCCATTTCGGTATCTTGTTCTTTTGTTGGCAGTTTGTGTTGCTCGGTTTCCGGTTGTTTTGGAGAACGTTCATTTTTTGGCATTATGTTTGGAAACTAATACACAAAATTCTGTATTGTGTGTATGGTGCTTTTTGTTTCTGCCTCAGCAGTTCCTGAGGTGGTTTTCCTGGTCCCCTGCTGCGGAAAGGTTGAAAGCCACTCTGCTAGACAACTTTGGGCTAGCCACCGATTCAGCCTAGTTTACCTCAGATAAAATGAAGAGGCTCTTGTAAGCAAAAAGGGGTGTAATAAGGAAAGATAAGGCTTCGGCAAGGGGCGGCATAGAAATGTTCTAATAAAATAATAATAATAAATAAAAAATCTTGCCTGAGTGAGAACGAAAAATACGCAGAAAATTCTTTCGAAAAACAAATGGATAGGTAGATGAAGATCTATGTTTCCTACCAGGCTCTAGTGGACAGACTTCTGGAGCTGTATTTCAGAGCATCTAGAAAGCATTAAATTGTGGAAATCTGATCTCGCTGAGGGTGGTGTAGTCTGGGATGCTGCTACTATGCCCATCACAGAGTTGCCTCTATTTAAATGCAGCCATCCACACTCCAGGGTTACTCTATGCTATGAACTGGAAGGAGTCTGACTTGTTACTGGCACACCTGAGGGGAGGGAAAGAAGTAAATTATGGAGGAACTCATCAACAAGTGGCCCCCACAAGAGCTAACGGCCCAAAGCCACGTCACGGGCAGGCGAAGTCAAGCATTCCACTCTTCCCCTCTGGGCAATATGCACTCAACACGGTTCTATCCTGCTTGTGTGTGTTTTAATATTTAATATAAGTTTTATCCTGCTTTTAAACTGCAAAGGCTCCCAGAGCAGTTGAAAACACACAAGACAGTCCCTGCCCTCTGGCTTCCTCTCTAAAGACACAACAAAAAGGGGACTGGAGCAGGAAGAGGAGAGTAAATCAGCTTAGGCACCCGTTCTCAAGTTTACAGAATTCCTATAGGAAACAGTTCAGGAGGAGAAGTCACAGGAGGAGCTAGTCTTGCTGACCCTCCCCCTCAACCTTCCTTGAGTGTTTTGGCACAAAGTGTAGTATATAGGCAATAGTAGAAAAGCCACACAAACACAAGGCAGCGTGGCATGCACAAACTAGGTTTCCAGAGGAGAATCTTCTCTTTAAGCATGCCACTTTTGTACCCAGTTACACTTGCAAAATGAAAATGAGGTACCTGTTATGACAGGTGGGCCCTCACTCTAAACTTTTTGTAGTGATGAGTAGAAACATCTTGCTAATGAAAATTGGTATGAAGTGTAAGAAGCTCAGAAACCCATATAGGTTATTAATTTCCTATTCTCTCGCTAGTTAACTGCGACTGGTTCCAATCCAGTCGGTATTTATTGGGGATTTTTAATTCCCGTAGGCTTCACTTTTTTGACTTGTACTAAGTCTCACTGACCGTTTTGTTGCTTGTTCAGCTTAGCAGTGTTTTGGTATGCAGCAGGATCCTCTAACCTCGTTTTTCACTTTCTGATGCATTTCAAGATGTTTCCTGTTATTTTGGGGGCTGGACTCAAAACAGCAGCACCCCTTGCACCTGAAGGTAGTTTCATATCCTGAAGTGCTGGAAGAGAAGTCACCTAGTCTTGGCCACTTTGCTAGCCTTTGTTTACAGCTTGTGCTATTTACCGTGAGAAGGAACTGGATCCAACCCAATGACTGGCAAGCAGGCTGGCTGCGTGTCAGGAAAAGCAGCTGTGTGCTATTTCTGCTGTGCAAGGTTTTTTCCTCCCAGAAGTGCCTGACAGATGATCAAGCGGTTTCTGTGCTGGCGTGGTTTTCATCTTGGTCACTCACACTGTGGTTCAGTCCCATGCTGGGAAGCTGCAGTAGTGTCCGTGGCTGTCATCCTTCCAGGGGCTCTGTGGTAGCTGCATACCGAGACCATGGAGCTCATGATGCCGGCTCCAGATAACCAGGTAAACCATGGTGAAGCCATGGAAAAATCATGTAACTGACCACTGTGTCTTTTTTCAAAAAGCCGAATGTACCACACTGGAATATTAGAACAGGGATCGGACATCACAGCAGGCCACCCCGCACAAGACGCCATCGTGACTTTTTGTGTCATGCAAAGGTGCCCCATGTGTTTAGCTATGTTCCCCTCCATCATCTCAACAACCTAACCCTGTGTTAGATGCCAAGACTGCAGGACCATTTTGAAAGGATCTGGCAATTCGCCAACTAGAACCTGCTACTAGGCATAGATCTATGTCTATATACATGTTTTAACATTTTCCAAAGGTTTCCTGCTCTTTTGTTCTCACCAGGGTAACTTTGTCTTCTCAATGGAAGCTTTCTGAATTTGTATTACATGTACACCCACTTTTACCTTTCAGACAGATTACATGATCCTCTTCATTTCATCCTCACAATACTCCCTGAATTAGTGACTGGCTCAAAGTTGCCCAGTAAGCTTCTTCCTGGAAGACCGAGGACTAGAACCCACATGTCCCAAATCCTGGTCTAACCACTATGCCACATTGGCTTTTATAGCACCATTTACATTCTGCTTAATTGTCTTGGAATCATCTTAGATGTTGTGTATCTTTAGTGTGTATTGTAGTGGAGAGTACGAGCAAGGTTTTAATTAACCGAGTGCTTCTCCCTTTCAGCTTCATTTGAAGCCAAGCCCTTATTTTAGAGAACAAAATATAAATATAAAAATGTTAAATTTTTCTGGATATTTTGCCACTTGTGAACAGACCGATTCTCATTTTCCATTATCTGTGTTCTTTTTTGGATTCAACAGTTCCAAGTCCCTAATGTTACTGCTGAGGCTTCTGGCAGGAGCATATAAATATGTACCAGAGCATCAAGCTGGGCTTGTTGTGATTCATCCACTTTGTTCATCCAAGATAAGCAGGATTACGTTCTACTGCCAAGTCACTTAAGAGAGGCTTCTTAACCTGGTGTCCTGCAGCAGTCCAGCTAAGGATGTTGGGAGTTGTTATTCCAACCCGTCTAAAGAGCAGCAGGCTGGGTAAGATTACTTTAGAAGCCAACACATTTTCCCGGTGAAGGGGCCATTTTACAATGGCTAGGAGCCTCTATCAACTGAACAGACTTCCTGCCACTTTGCAAGGAGGAAGCAAATCACCTTCAGCACACAGAAAAAAGGTATTTATTGATTTTATTTTTTTTACATAGTAAGAAGCGTGTGTCCTGTGGTCAGTAGCACTCTTTCATCTAGTCCCGATCGTGACCTGCCAGACCCGAACCAGATTATCTGTGTAGCCTGCAAACAGAGTCTGATTGTGGGAGGAGGGGAGGGAAACGGACAAAGAGAGAAGCAAAGTTAACAACTGAGTCAGTGAAACACTGGCAAGGCACCATCAATACTTAGCAGAAATCACCACTTGCAAGGGGAAAAAAGGCTGATTTGGGCAAACCAAGGCACGCAATGGCCACTTTAAAATCCTTCCTAACTATGGAAACCTATTAATAAACTGTGGTCTGCCTGCCTCAGCCCAACACAAAACTGCTCAGCACATCACTCCTGCAACTGTTCAGGCTAACAGATGCCCAGGATTAGAGGCAGGTGACAATTGACAGGAAACTACTTAAACTTGAGATGAGTAAAGTGAAAAGGGGTAAGATACAAACATTCCTACCCAGAAGAGGCACTAAGTGCGAGGGCTTTGCCCTCATGCCCCTCCGCCCATTTAAGACTTCCTTCCAACACTGAAAAATGCCAATCCCAACACATCAATCCCTCCATCCACCAAAGTCGGTCACTGTCCAGGTGTAGAAGCCTAGCAGTCAGG